TTTAATTTTATGCTTCCTTATTAAATGTTTTTGATGAATTGCTTGATGATCTGAATGGCTTTAGTGTTTGTATTTGTTTTTTTTCTTTTGTAATTTTTAGAAAATATTAGATAAGATATTTTTATAAAAAATAATAATTACCTATAAAGTTTGTAGAATAATATTTTAAATAAAAAAATTTTTAGATGAAACTTTGCCATGTATCAAACCAGTAAATACCACAGTTATGGATGGCAAAAAGAACTTTTCCAAAAGACTGTTGAAGAATATCAAAAAGGTTAAATCAAAAAAAGACAAACAGGATGTTGCTCTGCCGTCCCAATCGCCATCAAATTCTTCTCATASCAAAGGCACCTTAAAAAAATTTATGACTCTAGGCCACTCGTCTAAGAAATTGTTGAGGCCTAAATCCAGTTAGATCTTGAATCATAGTACTATAAAAAGTTGCAATTGGTGCAATTATTATAACACTTTCAAGATTGTATATTTTACTGGATTGTCAAGATTTGTATTGATTAAATTTTATGTTAACTGGCAACAATTTGTTAAGTTTATATTATTAAATATTTTTGTTGCAATTAATAGAGCCATGTAGTTGTTATAAATTGTATTATTTGTGGCATAGCTTAAATAATTTAACATATCACATACTCAAATACACAATCATATGGATTGCTAGATTTACATGTGTATATTATTTATGTAATTATCAGTTTTGTACTTAAGTATTATTTAACATTGAACAAGTTAATTTATTATACCAATTATATTAAATAACCCATTTACATGACATATAAACTTAGGATATGTGCCTATTTATATTTATTGTTTAATTATGTTTATATGTATGTTTGTAACTAAACAAAAATGGAAGAATAAAACTTCTATAAAAATTTACACATTTTTTTCCATAAAATATATGAATCTTAGATGGTCTTTAATATTTTTGTTGATATTTAAATGTATAACTTATAAGCAGGGATTGAGACTTAAAGCATTTTTATATTATTTTTAGAATATAAAATTAAAGCAAAGTAAGCTACAAGTTAATTTCCTACTAGATACTAAAGAGCCAAGAAACAACAAATRTTAGTCGTTTTTTCCCATATTTCAGGGTTTTATGTATATATTGATAATTTGTTTGGAAAAATTGAGCCATGAGCAAATGTMYATTGATGTCAGTTTTTTTTTTTTTTTTATAATCATAWTTCCATGCTGGGCKGTTGTGTGAAAACTGCCGTTATAAATATATACATGGCATGTGGCTAAATTATTTTCTCAAATTTTTTTTTGWTTACCGTCATTATATTGGCGTTTTTTCTTGAAATATTAACAGATGTAAATGTGTTTMTTTTTAACCGAAGCCACATCACTTTATATGGTATAATTGATTACTTCGCTTAAATATACTAATATGTTCAATGTTGTTTAAGTACATGGTCTTCATAAGGTGGCAGAATAAGTTAGAAGGCAATATAAATCCATCAACAAACTAAATCTAGTGTTTAAAAGCTTTAAAAAAACCTCTAAACCAATTTAATATCTGAAGCCCTGCATACATATTATGTTGTTGGCCATCAGAACCTCATCATTACCGCTGAAGTACCTAACCTCATAACACAGCCAATTAAATTTTTTTTCATGCTATCTTCATGGCATATCATGACGCAAGTCGTTTTATAGTCTTTTAACTCTCAAACTCTGTTTATTACACTTTATAAATTAAAACACTTATACATCTTATAGGTACAGTTCTGTGGATAATATTATTGAAAGTGTCAGCATCAGCACATTTTTGTTTTCTCATTCTAACTCAGSCRAAATATAGTTAATTTGTATTTTTTAGAACCAATCTTATGAAGCTAATTTAAATTATTTGAATGAATTTGGACCTATTATTAAACATAAATTTAAGAATATTATTTGTGTTGCTTATGATGGCTTTTCTTTAAGATCTTTCAATTTTAAAGCAAGCGTTTTACATTTTACAYCTCCTAACCTCATATAAAAATTGAAATATCATGAAAAAATTAAACAGAGAATAATTAATATTCTTAACTTTAAGTTCTATACTAAGTCAATTAACTCTAATAATTCAGCGAACAATCCAAGATGAGTTCTACTGTACTCAAATTTTGTAAGCTGTACAAGGGGTAGAGAGAGAGAGAGAGAGAGAGAGAGAGACAGAGTGACAGAGGGTGAAATAAAAAAAATAGTACAGTGAAAACCTCTTAACTTTGATAAAAAATTAATTTACACCTTAATATAAAGAATAAAACTTAATTGATTCCGCTGAACGCTAATCTGCTGGAACTGCAGGGATCAMAACCAACCTGTGCCCACGACTACCTATCTTCAAGTATAAAATGAGTAAATTATATTATAAGAGTGATATAAATTATCTTATCCAGCATGGTATACCTTTATGATAATATTTTTATGAGTTTTTTAATATATTACCTATTATAGATTAAATTATATGGAATGCATTTTCACTAAATTTAAGGGTTTAAAGCCATGCCAGTAGGTATCTTTTTAGTGTTTATTTTGATTTTACAAACCTWATCAACACACAAGCATAACATTATGTGCAAATTTATTATAATATTAATTTCAATTAACWGTCGAAGGAGTATGATTTTAGATGGACAATATTGTACATAGTTTCCCCGTGGTCCGACCAAACACGTCGCTCGTTTCCTGAGAGTTACAAACTGGCTGCCGATGTTGATGTGTTGACTATTCAGGTTAAGTAGGTCAAGACGTTAAGAAGTACCTACATCATGTTACCTAACTAAATTATTCACTKTTTCGATATTATGCTCTTCTGGATATATGGCGTTATTTAGAATTCAATACGCAATTCTAATATGTAGAACGTAGGTATAGGTTACCTAGGTAAATTCTTAAAATCTAATAAAAATTAAATTTATTATTAAGATCTAATTTTTAACTAATATAATATACCAACTATTTAGCTCATAAAAATCCTAAATTGTTTAACACTTTACTATGTATTCTTAGTTTTCTTTGAACTTTTTAAAAGTTGATATATATTTTAACATAACATACTATATAAGTGTAAAAGGTGTTTTTTTATGTACCTACACCTTGGAATATTATCTCAAAAAAGCGGGTAAGTGGATGTCGCTCTGTTGTACATTAGGTGGTGGGGTGGACCTCTGACTAGGGTAGGTTAGATTTGAATGCAATGATAGGTATCATTGTATACGAAAAACGATTCTGAACGGAGATGATTTGTCAGTCTA